GTATTTTCAAGTTTCAAATAAAAGAGATATGTTTAAAGGAGTATAGTAGAATTAGATTAGCCACCATATATATATCCACACACTTTCACATCTTGATCAAAGAGTATGACATCTTTCTCCTTGGATCCTCGTTTTGACTTTACAATATATGCAATGCAAGTATGTTTTCATATTTATCCCTACCTGAGCTCTACATAAGCTTTTAGAAGTAGGTAAAAAGAAGGCAAAGACATCTATGCCTTGGTGAGGATCCAAAAATACCATATATACAGAGTGATTTGAGGGTACCACAAAAAGGAGAAGGTAACCTATGTTTTGTTTTCAAAAAAATCTTAGATGTTTCTCCAATTGACTTGACTGAAGGAAGATGGTGATCTGTTTCAAGCTGTTCAATTCTTCAACGGCCCAAAGTTTTATGGTAGACACTTTGAATCCCATGATACATGTATGACTGGGAATGATTTTATGTTGATGCCTTATCCTAAGGTCAAATCTTGAGTAATCCACTCTTTTATCGATGACGAGTAAAAGCCTAAGTGTGGGGGAGTTGTTGACGGTAGTTATCATACATATTTAATCGTCAATTAAATATGTATAAGGGCATAAATGAATCACCAATGTAGACTTAGGGGTTTAAACTGATAAATTCCACGAGTTTTGGTGAATCTGTGTTTCCAGCAGGAGTTAATCAAAAAACCGCCAAGGAGGACCTAATCATCAAAGGAAAAACACAGAATCTCGCCATGGTACCTATGTGGGAAGACTCTAGAAGGATCTAGGAGCCACGTCACTGAAAGCAAAGGACCAAAGGATGACATGTGGGGCCGCCCGGCCCCCTGTGGGCCCACCTATCAGCCTCGTCGCTATGTCGGTTTCCCACCACCTCCTAGGATGCATCTCCGCCGTTGCTTAAGTCGGTTTGATCCAAGGGCTCACGTTGGACCCTCAGGGCTATATAATCCAATCCCTGCCTCTCCCCTAGGCATAAGCCTCATTTGATCCTGAGAGCTGAGAATCCAGAAACCCTAATTCATATGTCCACCAGGATCAGGGCTAGCAATCAAGAGAAGATTAGTCCTCGATAGTATCTAGTCTTGTATTAGAGATAGAGAGATAGAGTGAGAGGGAAGAGTTTTGGAGGAGTCTCGGCCTGTCGGTGCTCTCTCTACGGCTTGTACCCGAATGGAATCAAGTTCTTCTAGAGTTTGCTTCTGAGATTTCTCTGGTAATCAATTTCTAATTCAAGTAAGCATCTTATTCATATTGTTCTTCAGGTTTGCGACTCTCTTTTGAGTACTTTAATCCTTGTAGCTCCTAGGTTAAAGTGGTATTCGTAGTGTAAGCATGGTGCTTAGACTCGGTTACTCATGGATGTACCCTATTTTCTAGATCGGTGGTAGCTCGCGAGGGTGACTCATATAGCCTCGTTCAATCCTCTGTAATCCACCTCTCGTTAGTAGGCCTAGCAGGACTTTGTTACTATAGGAAACATACTCTGCTTGTGTTTTCTCTAGTAATATCCCCAGAATTGAATAATAGAAGACAAAGCTTATCAAAGTTAGAACTAGAAGACCTTAGCAGTCTCCTCTATGCTTCTATTATCTAGCCTTTATTGTGAAGTTGGGTTAAGTTAGAATTAGTTACTCTCACCTCCGTTCCTTTGGGTTCGATATAAAACTGGGTTACTCTCGGTGAACTGCTACAACGGTATAATATCTGTGCGCTTGCGGATTATTCTGTGTGCATTAATTTATACCAACACCTCCCTAGGCCAGTTGTGGCCTTCGCGTGTGGTTCACTGGCTCCCCACGCTGTCGGCGCCAACGTCCGCGCATGGCTCCTATCGAGCTCTCAAGGAACGACACGGGGACAAATTCCCCGTACGAGGATGGGGACGGGGACGGGGAGGAGACGTCCCCCGTGACCAATCACGGGCACGGGGATGGGGACGGGGACAGGGAATTTCTTCCCCCGCGGGGACGGGGATGGGGAAGCAACCCCGACAAGAAATTCCCTGTTGCCATCTTTAGCCGCCACCCTCAACTTGCTCACCGTACTTCATAAAAATTGGCCTACGGGGAAAACTAGAGAAAATTTATCTTTGACACAACTAAACATAATAAGTTTTCGAACAAAGCGAGTACATGGCATTATTTTTCATACATGTTACGTAATGACGACACATCAAATACTAAGCCTCATTCCACAACGGCTAATGCGTCACAATTTTGTCCCGGCAACTAAAGTTTCTATGCATAAATGACGCACCTACCAACAGTATAAGAAATAGCCATTTATGTACCACCGACCTGCAACTAGTAGCCAATTTTTATTTGCTTTATTTTAGTATAACATGGTAGAAACAAAGAAACAAGGAGGTTCTTACGAAACCCAAACAAACCGCGTCATACCTCAGATGGGCTGTAGTGAAAGAGAGAGCATGATGCACGCGACAAACCAGAGTCTCTCAGTCTAGCATGATTGGCTTTTGCGCCAGGACCCAGGAAGGAACAAGCAGGACATTGGTTAGTGCTGAGGAGAGCCGGCTCCTTTTTTTCTTCTTCTTCTTTTGCATGCGCTCGCGTAAAATCTAGTATGGAGTACTAGCAAAGAAGAAGACAGTCAAACATTTTGATGTGAACTTGTTGACAGTTGAGACGTAGCAACCACCAGCCGCCAAAGGACGTTGCCGTGCTCGATTTTGACTATGAACCGAACAATAACATGACACAAATAAAATGTGATGCGTGCTTAACTTAAGGCGTGGCAGATCATGGCTCTACCTAAACAATAAAATCTAGTATGGAGTACTAGCAAAGAAGAAGACAGTCAAACATTTTGATGTGAACTTGTTGACAGTTGAGACGTAGCAACCACCAGCCGCCAAAGGACGTTGCCGTGCTCGATTTTGACTATGAACCGAACAATAACATGACACAAATAAAATGTGATGCGTGCTTAACTTAAGGCGTGGCAGATCATGGCTCTACCTAAACAAATAACCACAGTGTAGTTTACAATAACACATGAGACATGATGGTTGTAGGTAAGTTTGCTATCATAAGATCTACAATTTGCATGCCATGTCATAAAATTGAAATCCTTATTGACTCATAACGATTTCTTTTTTTATTGTTATTTATGGATCACATGATTTAGCGACCAATGCCTTTAGTGTCATTGGCCTACGGAGAACTTATCATGGGAAGCCTATGCACCTTCAGTGTCATCTTAGCTCCATGGGACATATGCCTTTCGTTTTGTTTTTTTTAACTAAATGTTGTTGTAAATTGTTCTTTTTAGGTTTTATAAAGAAAATATCTGAGTAGGAGTACATGTAGCCAACTAGCCATGCAGATGTACGGTTGTCTGCATGCATGTACCTATGCAAGGTAACACAGATTCTCTTTGAAAAATAGGGGTGGGGGGGTGGGGGGCGCACTAGCCGTCTAATTGTTTTGACGTTGGCATGTCAAATTTTGGTTATGAACCAAACAATAACTGGCAAATAAAATGTGGTGCACGCTTATCTTGTGGCATGGTAGATCATGTCTCTAAAACTATACGAATAACCATAGTAGTTTAGGACTTGTTTGGATCACAACTAGTAGATTATTGACGTTGGCATGTCAAATTTTTGTTATAAACCAAACAATAACTGGCAAATTAAATGTGGTGCATGTTTATCTTATGGCATGGTAGATCATGTCTCTAAAACTATACAAATATCATAGTAGTTTAGGACTTGTTTGCATCACAACTAGATTATTATAATATGAATTATATATAGGATTATAATAATATAAACTATGAACTACAATAATCGGTAAGTTTGGATTTTATGGATTATTATGATGGATTATTCTTAGTCCAAGTGAAAAAAGTACTCTTAATCACCAAAAAGCAGATCCGAGATGGGTTATTGGATTATTGTAACATGGTGTTTGGATGTAATAATCCACCTGATGATCTAGCCTCTTTAGATCACAATTTAATAATTTTAGTTGATTATTATAATCACAGTGCAATAAAAACACATGAGACAAGATGGTTGTAGGTAAGTCTATTTGCTATCCTAAGATCTACAATCTTCATGCCATGTCATAAAATGATTTCTTTTACGGATAAACATAATTTAGTGAGCAATGCCTTTGGTGTCATTGGCCTTATCATCCTCTATCCTTTATGTCCTACGGGGAACTTATCTTAAATTGAGAAGCTGCCTTCCGTGTCATCTTAGCTCCCACATGGGTCATCTGCTTTTGTTGTGTGCTCTTATGTTTTAACTATTAGAAATTGTTGTGATTTGACCCTTTTTTTAGTTTTAAGTATGTCTTATCCGTGAATGTCCCCGCGAGGGGAAGGCTTTGTCATCCATCCAACCAAACAAGCACATTGGCATGTCATCCATGAGCAAGTCTTTCCACGAGTAAGCAAAAGGATTAGTGTATAACAAACCTCGAAAGACGAAGGAAAAAAAACAGGCTGCGCGTAACAAAGCCTATGCCCATAGCACATGGCGAGCAAGACAGACACCACACCACCAGAGCCAAAAATGCGACAGCAACTTTTGGTCCCGTCTCCCGTGTCAGGCCAAGCACCTATAACACGACAAGAGTCCCCCGACGCGATATGGTGAGAGCGGAAAGCCAGCACAACACAATGCGGCCACGCCGTGCGCGTGAACATTTCGTTTGCAAAGGAGACTGAGGAGAAATGACGGATTAGCCACCCACGGCCACGGGCCACGGCGGCGCACTGGCGGTTTGCGCGCGGATCACACGCGTAGCGACAGCCTCCTACTCCCACCCTGCGTCACTGCGGGGGCAGCCTCGTCATTTCGCCCGACGCCACTTCACAAACGACCCTTGATAAACCCTACGGCTAAACCAGCCCACCAACCACTAGTCCACTACAGGCAGCCCCGTCCGGCCACCGAGCAAGCCCGCCCGCCCTGCCAAGTGCCACTGTCCCCGCCACCTTAGCGCCCGGCGGCAGGCATGTCTGTCGCCTCCTCCCACCACCTGCGGCCGTCGCCGGCGGCGGCGGGCCCGGCGCGGCGGCCGGGCTGCGCCGCAGCGCCGCGCGTGTCGCTCTGGCCAGCCGGTGCCTCGCCCCCGTACCGCGGCCGCTGCACCGTCGTGGCGGCGGCGGCGGCGCCTGCCGCGGGCGCCGGCGGCGAGGCAGCCTCGGCCCCCGCCGCCGTGTCGGCGGTCGCCCCCGCGGCCGCCGCCAGGGACAAGTAAGCGCTCCCCTTGCCCGCCGAAATGCTGCCTCCTTTGTTTCTTAATCTCTCGCGGCGCGCGGGACTCGTGTTGTTTTGTTTGTGCACGCGCCGCTTTGTCTGTTTTGTTATCTTCTTCTGATGAGGCTGCTCGGGATTCTAGCGCCAAATGCAGGGTGCGGCGGCACACGATTTCGGTGTTCGTCGGGGACGAGAGCGGCATGATCAACCGGATCGCCGGGGTCTTCGCCAGGAGAGGCTACAACATCGAGTCGCTCGCCGTGGGGCTCAACAAGGACAAGGCGCTCTTCACCATTGTCGTCTCCGGGACCGACAGGGTGCTCAACCAAGTCATCGAGCAGCTCAATAAGCTTGTCAACGTCCTCAGTGTGGGTCCGCCTTCTCAAAATTTAGCAGAGTCACGCGAATCCATACTTGATTTTGATGCCCCCGGTTTGAGCACTTGGTGACAATTCACTAGTACAGTGAGATTTTGTTCCATGAGTTTAGCTCGCCCGAATCTTCTGTCCTTTTTATTCTGTTATAGGATCGTTTCCACTTTCGTGGAGCATCTTTTGTATAGCTAGACAGAACATGCGTAACTTTTTTCCTTCCTGATTTGGTCATAATCATCTTCAAAGTATTCTTTTCCCTTTCCCCCTAGAAATCGCTGCCAGCCTTACAGTCATGTCAACGTCAGGGACATACTCCTTTCTAGGGGATACCTCAAATGCAACATCATTATTATACGCCCTGTATTATGTTTATGTAATGCACTTTCTGTTTCTGCACCTGTGCCGTGTATGGTAAGCACAGTTGCTTTGGTTAATCATTTGAAGAAAAAAAAAGATACTTGACTTCATTATTCTGACTATGTGGTAGTACTTATTTAGTTCAATTTTAATGCTACCCTGTACATGTCTATATCCTATAACCTAAAGCAGCCTTCCAGTTAGGAGCTATTCTGAGTTTTCTTTGTTCTTGCGATTTGAAGATGCTGGTTTCTTGGGGAAAAGATTTATTGTTCTCTCTGAATGTACCATGCAGATATTACGTTGCTTTACTTTCCTTCTGAATTCTTAGCCAGAAAAACTTCATGGATTACCATTCCTTCACTGTTTGTGTCAACTAAACATTTAGATGGTTTTAACTACCATGCTATTTTCTCTCTAAAAATTATTTACTACTACTATTTTGTTGACAACTTGCATTAAGAGTAATATCAATTACAGGTCGAAGATTTATCTAAAGAACCTCAGGTTGAAAGAGAGCTGATGCTTATAAAACTAAACGTTGAACCTGATCAGCGCCCTGAGGTATGATGTAGCGTTGAGTTAGTCTTTGTAATCCAAAAGTTCACTTAGCATCCTGTACTCATGATTCTCAATTGCATGGTGAGCCTTACAACGGTGCTTCTTGTCATGACTGACAGGTCATGGTTTTAGTTGATATTTTCAGAGCAAAAGTTGTTGATATATCTGAGAAAACACTTACCATAGAGGTAAAAACTCAATCTCTAACTAGTGTACATATTTTGATTGGTATCCATTTTCCTGTACTGAACTGTATGTTTAATGGGCATTTGACCAATGTTAGGTAGCTGGAGATCCTGGCAAAATTGCTGCAGTGCAGAGGAATCTAAGGAGATTCGGAATCAAAGAAATTTGCAGGACAGGAAAAGTAATTTCTAATGTTCTTTCCTTGCATGGACACATTTTTTTCTTCTATAATGCTAATTTAGTGCCCTATCTTCTTAGATTGCTTTGAGACGTGAAAAGATTGGTGCAACAGCCCGTTTCTGGCAATTTTCTGCTGCTTCTTACCCAGACCTTATAGAGGCATTGCCGAAAAATCCAATTACATCTGTAAATAGGACAGTGAATGGCAGTTTTGATCAACCATCCAATGCTGGGGTATGTAACCTTTTACTCTTAAAACTTTCTAGAATTTTCTTATATCATGTCCTGCTCTGTTTATAATTTTATACTTAGTTTTGGTCGAATGATGCATATAACCAATTTGAGGTGGATACATTAAAGAAAAAAAAAACCATGTGATTTCAGTAATGCCTATTCACTTGAACCAAATGCAGGTGAACTTCTATGTTAACGGATAAAAGTACCAATAATCACCGGCTGTATTTAAGTAATTACCTGCAGTGATGCTGGCATATTAGTTTTCTGAGTCTAATACGTTTGAACAATTACCTCGAGCCTTGAGAGGGGTTAGCTCACCAGAGTCAATACGTTTCCACTGAATGATACTACTTCCAGAAGCTATAAATGCACGGTAATGCAGAATGGTCTTATGAATAATCAACTGGTAACTGAATGTACATATTTAGTATCGCGAGTCGTGCAGTACCATGACACCTGGTACATTGAACTTGTGTGAACTGTATGTATTTACTATTGTGTTAATGGGAATGTATTGTTGGGTGATACCCACCATAGTGCACAAACATACATAAATAGTATTAACAGGCATTGCAGTCTTAGTCATAGTTCACGTTTGCTCAATATGTAGTTTGGACTAATACTAATACCATTAATGGTTACAGCATGCTAGTTGTTCAGACTTCCATCGGATGCATTTGATACAATATTACAGTCTACACACTATTCCTGGCTCTTATAACACGTGTTGTTTTGACTTTGGAACTGTCCAGGGTGATGTCTATCCTGTGGAATCTTACGAGAGCTTATCAGCAAACCATGTACTTGATGCTCATTGGGGTGTTCTGGATGATGATGATGATGTAAGTATAGAGATTTCCATCATGTGATTTGCATTTAGTGCTACATGGACACTGCTGATTTGCTCTGCGCATAATTGCATCCTGAATCTAATTATAATGTGACTGGAGTGTGTTTTCATTTACACTTCCATTATGTTTGCAAGAAGTCAATTTGTAGGCAAAGCCTATCTAGCTTTAAGAAATGGTAATAATGCTTAACCTGCATCTTTATGTATACTGTTGTTATCTTGCAGCTGCTAATCCCAGTATTGATTTTGTGTGGTACAGGCAACTGGACTTCGCTCGCATACCCTCTCCATCCTTGTGAATGACTGTCCTGGTGTCCTCAACATTGTAACAGGAGTCTTTGCTCGCAGGGGCTACAATATACAGGTTTTCTTTTTCGAAAAGCTCTTTCTTCTTGTTGAATATAGTGCCAGACTAGTTATTGACAAGTGCATACTTGTCAGAGCCTTGCTGTTGGCCCAGCTGAGAAGGAAGGCATTTCGCGTATTACAACAGTTGTTCCTGGTACCGTTGAATCCATTGAGAAGTTAGTTCAGCAGCTTTACAAGCTTGTTGATGTGCATGAAGTAAGCTGCATGTAATTCCTACCAAAATCATTTGTGTTTGCAAATTTATTATGTTAACTAACAAAAACATGCGATTCCTGCAGGTTCATGACATTACCCCCTCACCTTTTGCTGAAAGGGAACTGATGCTTATTAAGGTTTCTGTAAACACTGCTGCTCGGAGGGAAATCCTAGATATTGCCGAAATCTTCCGAGCAAAACCTGTTGATGTTTCTGACCATACAGTAACGCTTCAGGTTGGCATCCTAACAATTTGTGTGTTTCTCCCAGATTTCCATCAGTGCCTTTTTGCCAACACTGATGATACTAGAGCCAGTTTTAGAAAAAGCACTGTGCACACTGCACAGCCACAAATTAGATCACATTGCTTTTGTTGATTTTCTGCTGCATAGTACCACTTGTGGTAACAATAACAACATCATACCCATATAGAAACACTGAATGTTTGACACCAGTACTATTTTTTTCATGCTGCTTCATCTAACTGCTCCAAGCTACTAGTTATTGCAAAACTCTTGCATAATGGATCCCTTATTGATGATTGCAGCTTACTGGAGATTTTGACAAGATGGTTGCACTACAAAGGTTATTGGAGCCATATGGCATCTGCGAGGTATGTTGCTTGTCACTTCACATCAACTTAAGTGTGAAAAGGCAATTTTTGGGTCCTTTGGGATGAATGGACAGTCGAATGCCTTTTTATTTGATGCCAACAGTTGTTTTGTTTTCTTCTGAGATTACTTGTGATTGTGAAACAGAATATAAGCAATTGTGCACAATGCCACATGGTTAAATAGTCCTAAATAAAAACTATTCGAAAGTACCCAGTGATGTTCTGTTGCAGCCAATTAGTAGCGCCTTTTGCAAACGAGACCATTTCTAAGTTCTGTTAAGACTATAATGAAGCATATTCTAATTTGATTCCTCAGAGGAGCAATTACTGTACTGCTTAAGCTCTGTCATCAGATTTTACACCGAAAAGCTTATTTGATGTTTTGTACACGGTCGTCACCATTGTGTTGCACACATGACAGGTCGCCAGAACTGGACGAGTGGCACTGGTCCGTGAATCGAAGGTCGACTCCAAGTACCTACGCGGCTACTCTCTTCCATTGTAGCCTGGCATTTGTGATGATGGCGGGCCCGATAAAGAGCTTGGTTGGTTGTTATAGAGCAGACCATCTCGCGCTGGGTTGTGTTGTGCAATTATTATGGACTTGTTTCGTTTATAGAAACAGATAGGTTATGTGGTGAACTCCCTGGCCTGCGTGTTCAATAATGTCCTCCCCCCGGTATATGCGCGTTGAGGTTGCATATGTATCCCATCGACGGTCAGAATAAGATGCATAGCGTATCTGTTTACTTCAGCGAAGAGAGATGCAGGCATCGTTCGAAATCAGCTTGCCTGCGTTTTGTAGTTCAGTTCTATTTATATATACTGTATGGTGATTTCTGATTTGGTGAGAAGCGGAACATGTGGAGTCGTGGACCATCTCCAAATCCACATCCACATCAAACGGGTAGGGCATGGGGAGAAATTATTTTACCCACTAGAAACAGATAGGTTATGGGTAATATATATATATATATATATATATATAGAGAGAGAGAGAGAGAGAGAGAGATCTATTGCTCCGTGGCTGGCTACAAAATATTATATTCTGTAGCCGGGTCGTTTTGTGACGGTGGTCCAGCTTCCGTCCATTCACCGCTCTAGCTGGTGCCTACCCGCCGCGTGCATTCATCCAGCGCAGATCACGCTCGTGGCTTGGGACGGTGGTCCCCTTTGGACTAATGCATGCATCTAATCTCCTTGATTTTTCCCGTACCTTCCACCGGCCACAAGAGCACCTGCGAGTGGTGAGCTACTGCACGACGGAGCCTGGACTGGAGTATGGCGCATCCACCGGAGGCTGCAGCGGCACCTTCCTCGACTCAACATCGGATCCGCCTGACGCAGGCCGACGGCAGCCTGACAGAGCGCATGCTCCCGTGCCGCCGGCGGCCGGAGCGCCCGTTCTACTCTGGACCGTGGCCGCGTCGCCCTTCCCATCGTCCCGTCGGCAACCTTCCTCGTGCAACCTCGCGTCGCGCAGATGGCGCCCCCGGCGGCGCCGTGGCTCGTCCTGCTCAACCCCGGCAGCTGCTTCCTCGGCGATGGCAGCGAGCCCCCTCCCCGACGGCCCTCCCTATATGCATGCGCACGACCGGCGACGTCGGCTCCATGCTCCAGCACGCGACGTGACTCTAGGCGGCGGCGGTGCGGCCTCCCACCGTATGACCCCGTGTTTCGCATGGATGGTGGCCCCTACGGCGGCGCAGCTCGCCCAGCTCGACGGCGCTCCCCGACGGTGACGCAGCCGGTTTCGCTCGGATGGCAGCCCCAGCGACTGAGCTGCTCTCGCCTCGCACAGATGTCGATCGGCTCCGGCGGCAACGCGTCCTACCCTAGTCGGATGGCAGTCCCGATGGTGGAGCAGCTTCTTCCCTGGCGCGCATGGCGGCCTCAGCTATGGCGTGTCTCATCTCGCGGCAACAGCGCTCCTCGGCGGCGGCCAAGCACCACGGTGTCACCTTCCTCCTTCCCGATGGCCCTCACGATGGCGTGGCGGCAGGCTCCTTCCGTGGTGCAGGCATGCAGCTATTTATTTGATTTGATTTTTGTTTGATTTATTTGTACAAATACAGATGAATTAGTTTGATTTCATCCAAAGTTCATGGGTGATGTATCGCCGATGAACATTTTTTATTTGATTTTTGGTATTTTTCTTGCTGGTTACTGTTGGAAAGCACCAAATTGTAAATTCCCGTAAATACATTTCTTATAGTCCAGATTCTCGTAATTATTTGTTAGTGCAAATTCTCGTAAATATATTTCTTATAGTCCAGATTCTCGTAATTATTTGTTAGTGCAAATTCTCATAAATATTACTTAGTAAATATTATTAGTGTAAATTCTTATAGTTCAGATTCTCGTAAATATTTTTTTTCTCGTAAATAGATTTTTTTTCGTAAATATAGCAGTGCTGTGCCACGTCACACACAAAATAATCATTGAAATCCATGCATAATCACGATTTGCTGCCTAACATATATGCTATGTAACCAGCAACGTCATACATGCAATTATTCTAGTTTTCAAAAATTTAACCCTCTTCATAAGGGAACACACGTGATTAGTTGTATCAGTAAGGCAACACAATATTTTTTTTCCACGATATACAACCCTATTGGCCTGTAATGCAAATTCTCGTAAATATTTGTTAATACAAATTCTCGTAAATATTTTTAGCATATATTCTCGTAAATATTTCTTGGTGTGAATTATCATAAATATGCTTTAGTACAGATTCTCGTAAACATTTCATGGTGCAATTTCTTGTAAAAATGGTTTTTGTGTGAATTCTCGTATAATTCTTAGCGCAGATTCTTGGAAATACTTGTTAATGCACATTATCGTAAATATTTCTTAGTGTAGATTCTCGTAAACGTTTATTAGTGTAGATTCTCGTAAATATGTTTTGGCCTGAATTCTCGTAAATATTTCTTCTTAAACAATAGATGGAAAGTAGTAAAAAAATTCTAGTAAACTGATTACGTGTATGGGCAGTACGCACGGCCAACTAGAGTTGCTGAAATAAACGTGAGCAAATCAAGAAAGAACTAATTACTGTTGGCCACGTAACTTCCCTAAAATTACCATAGTTACCGGGCCCAATCACCTGCTCCGCTCACCTGGATGGTTGCATGCAATGGACGTCGCCTAAAATTAAGCTGACCCGGACCAGAGCAGTTATGCACCAGCCACGCACGCGCCTGGCTCATGGGTGGGGAGGCGGACTGGCCTGGCTACAGAATATCACATTGTAGCTAGCTACAGATTATATATATATATATATATATATATAATGTTTTGCTATAATACACTTGGTACATCATGTATATAAAATGCACCTAGGCCGGCAGGCGCACCAACTTGGAGCAACCAGTGCGCCCAAGCGAACATGCAGTACATGCTTCTCTAAATTAAGTTGTATCTTCCACCTATCACGTAAAACCACCTAGCATATAAATCTCACTAGACTGCATACATGCATGCATGTAATTTTTTATTGGTTCGAATCTTTGAAACAAATTTTCTCCTAAACCGTAACCCCGATTGATAAACCGTTTGTTGCATTCGACTCAAAAAAATATTCTGAGCCAAACTAGATCCAATATAGATATATTTTTTTATCCTTTAAGCGAGTTGCATGTCAATGTACTACCGATTGCAACTCTGTCTATCACCTAGTTGCAACTAGTTATAATTCTATGTATTATATGCATCTGGTCACTATAATCACGTCAAATTGCAATTCTAAGTTGCAATCATATCTAAGTAGCAACTGTGTTGCAATTGAGTAGTAACTAGTTGCAATCAGTAGTAATTGGTTTGCAATTGGGTAGTAACTTATTGCAACCAATAGTAATTGTGTAGTAACGAGTTGCAACCAGTACTAATTGGGGTTGCAACTGGACAGGTGCATCTACCAACTAGGTTGCAAGTGAGTACTTGCTAGCTGCAATTGAGTACTAACCGGTTGCATTTCTATTCAGTAGGAGTTGCAAGCATACCTAGTTATAATCAGAGTAATAACTGGGTTGCAATTAAGTAGTGAATAATTGCAACCAGAAGTAACAAGGTTACACTAGATTATAATTAGTTGCAACCAGTGCTAAATATGCTACAGCCAAGTTGCAATTGTGTTGTAGAAGTGCTTGCAACTCATAGTACAACATATTGCAATTACGTATTTAAAAAAAAACTTTATCAAATACAACCTTCATGGATCTCGTTTTGTTAAGCATATTTTTTTTCAACAACCTACTTCAAACATATCTAAAATTGGATCTATGGTTTAGAAGATATCACATTTTTTCATTTGGAATCAACAAAAGATTCCCTGCATGCATGCTTCCTGGTGGGTCGGTTGAACTGTTAGGTGGCATCACATAGTTGGTTGTCTCCATTTAGTTTTGCATGCAGGAGCGTGGACTTACCTCACGCTCGCCGCTCGCCGCGCTCCGCGCGTCTCGCGTGTTGGTTGCACTCGCTTGACAGAATGCACCTAGGTGCATTTTAGTCTCGTCCTATATATATATTAAAGAGATGAAATTTTTTGTCTTTTTTTGTTTGGCCATTCTATTAGACCCAGCCGAGGCAAAAATTCTGCCTTTTTTCGTCTGACCCATTCTATTAGACCCAACCGTTCTCACTCGCACGCTTCCGGCCCACTCGCTTGTGTCTAGCTTCTTCTCAACGTTGCCGCTCCTCCCGGTGTTCGAATTTTTTATTTTTTAGCCCCTTTTTTGAAAAATTTTCACAAATATGTCTATGGAGGCAAGATTTTAAAATTTGGACCTTTAGCTCGGCGCCATCGTTGCTGGCGTCGAACTGACACTACTCGGCGCCATCATTGCTGGCACCGAGGTCTTGAGCTCGACGCAGACGTGGCGGTGACTTGGCAGACAGCTCGGCGCCATAGATCCTAGCGCCAGCTTGGCGCCGTAGATCCTGACGCCGAGCTCGGTGTTGTAGATCTTGACGCCGAGCTTGGCGCCATGATATATGGCACCGAGGTGGTGTTTTAACCCCGGCCCAACCTTCCTGTCCAAGCCTTCTTCCTTTTCTTTCTCCTCCCTCTCGGGTTTTTTCTCTCCCCACTTCGCCCTACCTCAAGAATCGGTATATTGGACCTTGAAAACTTTGATTTGATCCGTAGATCTTCGAGAGCAAGGTATCATCGCTCCCCTCCTAGTTTTTTTTCGCATCGATTCAGTATTATATTAGTCGGATTTTTTAACCTAAGAATTGTCATTACTTAGGGTTTCATGCAATTTTTAATATTTGTATTATACAACCATAGGATGATGCCAAGGCGTGAAAAAGCTAGCAAACCTAGGTAACCGCAGCGCATGTTGTTATGTTATGGGTTCATTGTTGTGCATCAAATGAGAAACCCTAGGTTTAGGGTTTAATGTTAATTGCTTTTGGTTCTTAGAACGAAATTGGTTGTATTGTAGTTATGGTTCTCATTGGCATTAATTTGTGATGTTTTGATTTTTGTTCGTTAAATTACAACCGTTTTGTTAGATGCAAGAAATGTATCGGGAGGAGTTTTGGCGAAAACGGGGTCGTCCTCGAGAATTATACCCCGACGTGTCTAGCAAAGATGCCCCCGTCCCTCCTGACCTCTCTATCCCTAACTATGACTGTGGTTTCCCGGCCGACGTGTTTCAATCGAGACATCCAGACACAGCGGCGTGTTGGTTCTACACATGCAGTCGTTTTATTGTAAGTAATTGTTTTCACTATTTTTTTCTTCATTTGTGTAAGTAGGCTACTAATATTTTGTTGGAATCTTGTTGTGTAGGACCATGAGAGGTGCTTTTTCTTTCAGTGGATCGACGGTGCAGACAAGTTTGACCCTAGGTACCTCCTTTTCAGCGATTGGTGTAGAGGAAGACATCTATGTGAGCACTTCAAGCGGTGGGTTCCACCCCCCTAACCCCCACCAATGATGACTAAGGAGAAGCACCTAGCCACAGTTAGACGACTCGAGGAACCTCCTCTGTGCGAATGCGGAGATCGAGCTATGATAAACCCTGAGAATACGTTGGCGTTTGTGTGTCCGAACAAACACGAAGTAAGTGAAAAGTGTATCTATTTAAATGTTTATCTCTATAGGTGTGCGTGTACTAATGTATTCTCTTGTAGTGTTATGGATTTGTGAAGTGTCGTTTCAAGGAGTGGCTCTACGGTCCTAAGAATCAATGGCCGGAGATACCAAAGGCAAAGAAAAAGAAGAAAGAAATGTTAATTTACAAAGCACCTCCAGTCAAGTGCGAATGTGGTGTTAAATTCAACTACGGTCTAGTCCCTTCGGAGCTTGGAATAGGCCATTATTGTGGCCATATGGTTGACTATGACGAGGTTGATTATTTTTGTGGTAAATATGAAATCGTATTTTATTTCTTTTGCTAAGACATATATGATATAATTTTTCGTTTGAACAGAGCACTAGGAAATGCAGGTGGGATTGTTATGAGGGTTAAGCTAAGTTCTTGGATGAACCGAAGGAGAGGCAAGTAATTGCACGAAAGAGGAGATATGGACCGAACTACGTCAACATATTCGTTAAACATCACAAAAACAAGATGCGTAAGTTTGCTAGACAGCGCGGTATTTGTAACCCGATCGATGTTGGGCTTGACAAATGGGGATTAGAGAGACGGATGACGTTAGAGGAGAAGAGGGTAAGGAAGGAGGCAAGGGAGGAGACAAGAGTACAGATACAGGTCTTGAACGAGCATGTTGTTGCATTATGTGCCAATGAGTGCTTGAAAGCCTTTTTTTTGTTGCCTGATTTTAAATATAATATAATCACGTTGCTAACTAATTGCATTTTATACATGAAGGGATTGGATGCATCAAGGACCATGCCGCAGAGGTGGCTCGTGCAAGGTATGAGGAAAAAAAAGTTAGATGAGCACAGAACGCGAGCTGGTCGTACCATTCAATCACCGATTGTGTTGTCTGATGAGGGAGACGAGGATGAGGACGGCACTGCTAAGTTGAGCGATCTCATCGCTCTTGCTGAGGCGGGCTTGTAGGCGGAGGAGGCAG